GCAACAATGAATTACTAAATAAAATAAAATGAAACACGGAATTTAAAAATCTATCATGTTAAGCTTTGACCTCTAAGTGTGGCATTGACCTTTGAGGTAGGGGTGCAGCTGTTGTGCATGACATAACGCCTTATTATTGTAACTAGTTGTGCCAAGTATTTTCAAAATCCCATTGAACTATAAAGAAGTTATAGATAGGACACAAAATATACCCTATAACAGACTATGTTAATCTTTGACCTCTAAGTGTGACCTTGACCTTGGAGGTAGGGACCCTTTTTTGCGCCTGAAATATTGTCTTATTATTGTGATTATTTGTGCAAAGTATTTTAAAAATCCCTTGATGTATGAAAAAGTTATGGACTGAACACAAAATATACCCTTTAACAGACTATGTAAATCTTTGACCCCAAGTGTGACCTTGATCTTGCAGGGATTTTTTCCATGGTGCATGATGTGGCATTTGTCAATGTTGAAGGACATCTATTTCTGCTCCCATTTTGCTACATTATTTAAAGGCACATTGATTATGCCTCAGAATTCCATGTGTCACAGGATGTGAAAAATGTGCAGTCTGAACGGGACTCGAACCCGGGACCCTCGGAATACCGCACCGCGGCTCTACTGACTGAGCTATCCGGCCACTCACACATCATCTCCCCTAAATAGTGAACAGTTCTGAACCGTGACATACTCCCCTGCTATATTGAAATTCGTCCTCGAATTTCAAAGAGTTACAGAGCAATGTGAATTAACTCTGAACTATATATAGTCACGGTCCCCCGCTCGGCGCCAAATGTCACAGGGTGAGAAAAATGTGCAGTCTGGCCGGGACTCAAACCCGGGACCTTCGGAATATCGATCTGCGGATCTACCGACAGACATATCCGGCCGCTTACTCATCTTCTCCCCTAATGTATATATTAACCAGTGTAAATGAGAAAAAATGTATATGGAAGAGAGAAAAAACTATATTCTTCATATTCTAACATATTTTACATGTGCTTTATCAAGTCTAGCACAAGCCTTTGTAATAACTAATCAACATCCGACAGTTTGGTTTAGTCTGTTTTTTTAACTTTGATTTTCACGTTACAAATTATAGATTAAAACCAATCATTCAATTTCGACGACATTTATCTAAAATTTTGTACTGAATTTTTCAGCTGTCGTTAGACAAAATTTAACTAAGACCTGCTGCATGTACTTAGCCCCTGAGTATTAAAGTCAATTTTGATATTAATGAAAATCGGTTGCGCCACCTGTGTATTTCGTGACAAATGTTATGGTGCTTCGGGATATAATATACTATTGTGTGTAATAGTTAGATCATTACCTTGCTATAAAAGGCAAATGACCTGACATCTGAACGCACTGCCACACTACAAAAACATCAGCTCAGGTCAACAAAATTTAATCATATAAAGGTGAGTGAAATATTTTGATTTAATTTGAATTGATAAACTTTATGAGACTTGCAATGGGGAATGTTTATGCAATTTAGTCATTTGTTTGTATTCTTCATAATATTATCATCATTGTTTTATAAGAAATATATATCAATTGTGAGTGCATTTTTGTAGAATAATGACCCGTTTGAGTTCAAATGGAGCATGTGAATTACCCGGATTGTTCTCTTTTACATTACATTTTCAAAATATCTATAAATACCCTAAATCTGGGGGGGGGTTGTTGTTTTTTTTTTTTTTTTTTTTTTTTTTTTTTTGCTGTTGTCATTTTTGTTTTTACTAAGAAGACGACTGATTCCTGATATCCACTTCGGTTTACTTACAAAAATAACAAAACAAAAAGTGAAAAAAAATCTTCATCAATTCTTTACCAATTATAGAACAATTATAGCTTTTATAAATTAAATGTTAACCTAATATACCGTACGTTCGTACTACATCAATGTATCTTGTGTTATTATCATATACAATGTATGTACTGTACATGTGTATATAAGTGTAATAATTGTTAATTAAAGGTCTTTTAAATTGTTATATTTTGTTTTAGATATCCTTTACAACAAAGAATGTCGGTCGTAGCTGTTGTTATGCTAGCTGCTTTGGTGACGTCATCGTTTGCATCTGACGATAGTATGTTTTTATTTCATGCTTTCCAGTGTTTTATTGCAATATATCAGATGATTATATTCTGATAAACCACTAGTGAAATTTATAAAATATAATTTTCACTGTAGCCGGACTATATCTGAATGCGTATGAAAAGAAAATCATAACCAAATGGAATAACAGCCAGAAATAAATGCCGTCATACGTAAATTTGCTTATTTAGGAAAAGAAAGTCAATGTCATCATTTATCATGTTAAAAAATTAACAAAATTTGAGAAATTTAACAGAACTATATTTCAAAACTTATGATGTGACGTCATGATATAATGACGTCACAGAGGAAAATGCGCGACGTTACGCGGCAAAATCAGTAAAAAAATATTTAAAATCACTTAAAAAGCATAAAATAAAAATAAAATTTATTTGTTTTACATATAAGATTGAAATATATTTCAGTCGTGAACACCAGCTACGCCACTCGTGAAAATATTGCATCTGGTGTTCACTCAGTGAAATTATATTTCAATCTTACATGCAAAACAAACAAATATCCTCTATTTATTTTTAAGTTTACTATGTTGATTACGCTTGACTTTACTATATATTTTTTAAAATGTATGCGTGTTTTAAGTTAACATCTGTTAAGGAGTGAAAAGGGGTATTTTGAGACTGACTCTTTTTCCTAAGAAATATTACCTGTTTTATGTTCAATAAGCATAACATTTGCTATTTATAGGAAATTCAAAAGTCTTGCTGTTAAATACAATTCTTAAAAGTTGATTATTTGATTGTCCTATCTGTTTAATAGGGGGATATTGTTTTGCGTGTTAGAATTATTAATAAAACCCGGTGTGTTATTTATATCTGTCATAATGACAAACATATTGTTTAATTTATAAAGGCTGTATCAGACAGATTCCTTCATTCAAGAGATACGAAATAGGAGAATCTTATACACTGGGATGTATCACATGTACATGTAGGATGTTTAATATACCTATGTTAGACTGTGGTCCAGCAAAACATTGCAAGTATACATTTAGGCAAGTACTTAATACATTTACTGTGTCCTTGATATCTGCAAAACTCCTCACAGTGATTTGATTGGCTGCACGTTACCATATGAAATAAAACGGCACGAGACTTCTATATGGGGTATAACGAACACTGTTTAAGTCGAAAAAAATCTTTTTCAATAATATTTTTAAACTATTATAAAAAAGTTTCATCTGCCAAATACAACAACCAAAAACAAAGGCTTGAATAATTGAATAAATGGTGAAATTGAACAAATACGTATGGTCATTTAGTATAATTGGTTTAATAAGTATCACTTTTTCTCTTTTTCTCTTTTACAGAAAGACTTAGTAACACTCATTCCGTGACCAATTTCTAAGATGAGATAACTAGGAGACTTGAGTGTTTGTTAGAAGGAAAACAACAATTATATTGAAAGAAAAAGCAACCACGACATTGCATGTTTCGTATTGTCATAACATTGAATCAACATGACTTTGTTAATTATATATTTTCATTATATCTGTATATCATTTTCATAATGTGAAGAAAACAAGTTAATTTAAAATTATCATATACATGTACTCATTATTTATTATTATTCGCTCCTTCCGATATTCATCACGTGGTCGTCTTTATTTACTTTTCTACTGATATTTGAGTGCGTCTGGCCTTTTTCATGTTTTCCGTTTTGGATAAGAGCCTTTATTGATAAAAAAAATATCCAGATAATGACTGTAAAGAACATTGCAAAAAAAAGCAAAAATGACTGTGTTTTAGGAAAACATACTGAACTCGGGAAATGAAGAGGAAATCAATTACTGGTACTCAATAGAATAAACTATTAACTATTTTATATACAATTATCGTGAAATTGATTGTTTAAAATAGAAATGAATACAATTTTCATTCTTTAGAATGGTCAAACTAACGTTCAAATAATGGTTTTAATGCCAAATATAGCGCTGAATGCAAAATAATTTGTCATAAAAGTATAAGTAAAACAAACTAGTATTTTGACATTCATAAAAAATACTTAGTCACTATAACTTACTATACGAATAATCAAGAAGTAATAGAAGCAAAATGTGGTTTACGTAATTGGCCAATGAATAACGTTTTTGAAAATATAACAGGACACCAAAAATTAAATAGTTTAAGAATTAAAGATAAAAGCATTTTGGAGTCATTATATGAGCCTTTATATCATACTTTTGTACATATAATCGAGGATATAGTTTGAGAATATTATATTCGTTAAGCTACATCGTTAAATTTATATTTTCATTCTCTGAATGAAATAATTTTAATTCTTGCTTGTTCAATGAATTGAATATCGGAACATATACACTTATTTAACTATATACACCATTGTGAAACCTTACTGATATATCATATTTAGTAATTCTCCAAGTACCTTACAAATAAATTGGCAAAACATAGTTTTTCAACGTCTTGTATATAAATTGAAATCTCTATAATATGCATTATATAATGTTCTGCTACATTATTAATCTACAATAATTCATTTTATTTTACATTGTTGTCTATAATTTTTCTACTCTTACTAGTGATTTATTAGCAAATCACATAAAGTCAGCTATTCTAACACGACCCGCATTTACCCCCATTGAACATAGAAGAACCGAAAGTGTGTGTTATCATGCAATAAAATCACAGTTTGACGTTCTATATTAGACACGTGAACTTAATCATTAAACACGTAACGTAACCACTAAAATGTGACGCGCTGAAAACAAGTACGGAAACAAATCAAATTGGTGATTTTATCGCTTGATAAAATCACTGTTTATCCATTTCACAATGGCAAAGGTGTTACCATATAGACTAACAAAGAATTTGCTATACATATGTGATTTAGTACTTTAAACCTATATCATTCATTTTACGGTATATGGTACGGTACTTTTCTCTGACGCATGCGCAGAGATCTTGTTTTGATTCTGCGATGGATTACTTCGGTGACATCGCAGATGGTAAAAAAATAGTTATTTCTGTCTTTCAAGGAATGAGTGTCAATATTTTGTATTGGAGCTTGTTATATATATTTCCATATTTCAATATAATAAAACATAAACGCGGTTGATTACCTTTCAAATACAGTAGGCATTTTGGTCAAGTCGACAAAAATTAGAACAACTTTATGACTTAATTTCCGCTTAAGTCAATGAAATGACATTGTGTAGACAGAAAATAGTTTCTCCAAATTATTACTCAGCTCGTTGGTTCTTAAATTTGATAATTTAAATTAATGTTATGTAAAATTGTCCGTATTTTTATTTTTCAATATAACGTAATTCGGATGGATATATATTCGGATAGTGGAAGTTTCGCCAAACTGTTGCTTCGAAACTAAAGCTTAATGCTCCGTTTCAGGAATCTCTCTGTTTTAGGGGAATAGTAATTGTACTACCTGTAAGAAGAAAAATTCTCACGTTTTCGTTAGTAGGGGGAATTTCAGACATTTTGCTGCACACATAAATGACTAAATTATAAATGACTGACAATAATTATATTATTATTTTTCATATATTCATCATAACTTATACTATCTTTTTTTTACTTACACCGGGTAGTAGAGCTGTCATTGAATATTGCGATATTGATATATCATCGATACTCATCATCCGATACTAAGAGTGTAATGGTTTACCGGTATACAGATATATATTGCAATATGAACGGGGAAAAGAGTCAACTCGGCACGGGTCAACTCGGCACGGGTCAACTCAGCCCACTTTACAAAAATATATAGGCCTATAACGTATTTACAATGCTTTGCATGTTGTTAAGGTAAATGAATAATAAGAAATATCTTATTATTATTATGTAATTATACATTATACCTCTGCCGAAATAAAGTATATATTTAGAAAAAAGGTTATTTATTTGTCTTGCAGATTCAATAAAATTAATATAGACACAGGCACGATTATCAGACCTGGGAAGAAAAAATATGAACAGATTGATAAAATAACTTAATATTTTTTCTAATCCCAGGTCTGATACTTGTGCCTGTGAATATAGATATAATAAAAATATGTTTCCTTAGATGCATTTTGTTTGTACAGTAATTTTCAAAAACATATCAAAACAAAAACGTGTTTACTTTATAGCATAAGCTTCTAATTAATTGCAGGTGGTCACTTATCAAATTTGAATGAATGAGTCAATCATAATTATCACCTAATTAATCTAACATACACATTGATTGATAATAATAGCCCGTGACAATATGAGTCCTTTGATGTCTTTTACCCATTTTTAAAAGTGGGCCGAGTTGACCCGGGCCTAGTTGGAATAGGGCCGAGCTGACTCGGGGGCCGAGCATGTTTTAGGGCCGAGCTGACCCGGATTCTATGAACGGTACAATTTTTGGAAGACCGGTATTTTATAAAAATTATAATTTTCAATTAATTGCCTTCTTAAGTTCTAATTTCGTTCAAATTTCACATAAAATCCTTAATTGGCGAATTATATTGGCGCCAACCTAAAATAAAAATATCCGACAATTAGTACACTTAAAAGTCAGTAAGCGGCTGCATAATTTACATAAACGGCCCAGATGTGAAAGGTCACGCGCGACTATAGTTTTCTTTATCAAATTGTGTGACACTTTACTTTCTATTTATTCCTTACATTTTTATTAAGTATCTACTAAGAATATATACATATAATAATAATAATAATGTTAATCCATCTTTAAATCAAAACATAAACACAACAATACGTATTGCAATACACTTGGGCAAAATGGCAATATATTGCAATACGGTTTTTGCCGTATTGTAACACCCCTATCCGATACAATATCGATACACGCTTTCAAAATTCGAAACAAGCTAAAATTTATTTATATCTGTTAGTAAATATATACCTCTCAATCTTGCCTAATAAGAGAAACTTTTCACTTTTTTCCAGTTTTCAATGCTAACTTGAACTTTAAACTCTGTTTTCAAATGTCAGTGACAAAAATAACAGAAAAAAGACACTTTCTGTTAGTTTGTAGTATATGTCATGTCTAATACAAGCATGCATATCACCTTGATCCTAATTTAAAACACACATTTAAATGTTTTTCATTGTATCCTCAAAGCTAGTGAAAAGGCCCTGCTAGTGTTCAAACAGTGGGGCGGAGTGATCAGTGCCGAGTCTACCCTTTACCCATATACAAATAACAATAGTGACAATACTTTTGTAGTTGACTTATTGAATTGTTAGATACTTAATAGAAATTATTTACATTACCAGTAATGGATCATTTACAAGAAAATGTGTTTTTACTTCTGACTCAGACTCACTGATATTAAGATGACATTCGTTGTAAACAATATTTAAAAAAAAAAATGATGGCCACTTATTTAAGGCTAGTTTTAAACTATTTTTGGAATGCAAGTAAAACTTTCTTTTAATTTTATAATGGTTATTTATATCATTAATGACAGCTTTTCCAACAAATATTTGTTATCATAATGAAGCTTAAGATAATGGAATGAATCTAATATACACTTTTGGTTTAGACCCTGGAGTCTATTGCAGGATATTGTCATGGCAATTATACAAGTTGCTATGCTATCTTTTTGTATAAACCAGATGCAGCAGTTATATATGCATTCTATGGTAATAAAAAAACACAAAATTTATCAACAATTGTCCCAAAGGTGACAGATCATGTATGTTAGTTTAAAGCGGCATAATAAGTTGGTATTACATTGTGCTCAAAAAGGCATGATAATATAAATAGTTAAAGTATTTTTAACTACTGTTGAATCAGTTTAAATGTTTGCAGAGAAGAAAGCAGGATTTTTTTACAAATCCCTAATAAAGTAAATTTAAAAGACATAAAGACAGCAGGGTTTATTTTGTTTTACAGTTAAATTGACTTAAATGTGTACTACTAATTTAATAAAAGAATTAACATATTTTACTTTGAAAACAATGTTTTAAGAATATTTATAAACAATTAATCTTAACTAAGAATTATTTAGATTAATATTGAACTTATAATAAAATCTACACATTTTTTTACAGGATTATCAGATATTGTTTTATGTAATAAATTATTATATTTTTGTCTATCTTTTTTTCTAGTGAGTTTGACATATGAGTGTGGTCCTGTAGCCTATGATGATTTTCCAAGATCAACCGAGCCTGTGTTTATTTTAGGAGAACAGTACAGTACATTATATGGTTAGTGATAATATTTTTAAAAAATACAGCTTCATAATGAATTATATTAAAGTGAGTTAAATGACATTACATGTAAATAAATCTGAGTGTGAATAGTGGGTGTACAGACAAAAGTCAAATAAACTTCACATTTTTTTGTGTTTTTTAGCTCGACTATTCGATAAGAATAAGTAGAGCTATTGTAGTCACCCAAGCGTCGGCGTAACCACTTATGTTAAAGTATTTGTAATAGTTCAAATATTTTCAAAGTCCATTGACATATGGCTTGTTCACCATCATGACCCCAACCTGTAGACAGGAGAAGGTAACTCTATCAAGCATTTTGACAGAATTATGCCCCTTTTTCGACTTAGAATTTACGTTAAAGTTTTTGTAATAGTTACAAAATATTTTCAAAGTCCATTGACATATGGCTTTGAAACTTTGCACACTTGTTCACCATCATGACCCCAACCTGTAGACAGGAGGAGGGAACTGTATCAAGCATTTTGACAGAATGATGCCCTTTTTCGACTTAGAATTTACGTTAAAGTTTTTGTAATACCTCAAATATTTTCAAAGTCTATTGATATATTGGCTTTGAAACTTTGCACACTTGTTCACCATCATGACCCCAACCAGTAGACAGGAGGAGGTAACTCTATCAAGCACTTTGACAGAATTATGCCCCTTTTTCGACTTAGAATTTACCTTAAAGTTTCTGTAATACCTCAAATATTTTCAAAGTCCATGGTCATATGGCTTTGAAACTTTGCACACTTGTTCACCATCATCACCCCAACCTGTAAACTGGAAGAGGTAACTGTATCAAGCATTTTGTTTTTATTATCAAGCACTAAGAATAGTCGAGCGTTGCTGTCCTACCGACAGCTCTTGTTTAACTTTGTATTCTACTTCCAATGTACCATCAATAACCCTCATGACTTTCAAAAAAATTCTATCGATATCTTCTTTAAAACTTAAAAGAGTAGAGCAGTCTGTTATATTTTAAGCAGTTTTTTACATTTCATCATAAATGTTTTTTGTTCATTAGCAATTATTGGTCAAAGACCATAATAATAGTCAGCCTTTGAGAAATATATAGCTATTTAAGTTCAACTTGATGGTGAACATAATGTCTGATGTATAAGGTGAAATTGATTAGATATTGATAATGTGCAGTCCTTTTTGATTTTATTTACATGTTTAACAGTAAACACAAACATATTAATCTATTTTCATTCACAAGTTTCATATTGACAAGTTTTTTATTCAAATTTTACCCACAAAAAAAAATTATTTTAGATCTAGAAGAAATCCGTGATGATGTCAGGTCAAGACTTTGGTTTACCTACAGGAAGGGATTTCAATCCATTGGTAAGTGCATTGTGCAATAAGAAGTTTTAAAATATACATGTGACGTCTGTGTTGTGCCAAAATTTATACCACCACATTCATAACACTTATTATATAGCTTTGAATGTTTGATTTATAATGTCAGTTTTTGAGCAACTAGTATATAATGTAGTTTTATCCATTTAAGGACGTTTTCGGGAGTTTTCATATAGACATACAGGCAAAATTTAAAGTGTTCAATAGAATTTCTTTAAACTTTGCATGTTGTTAGAATATGATAAGAGAAACATTTTAAATGGAAAAAAAATTGGGGTCACCATTCTCATTTTCGAGTTATCTGCCCTGAAAAAATGTTGGAAGGAGGTCTGAAAGAGTCAATGAAATGTTAGTGTGTCTGTATTTGTAATTTCAGATTAGCATTATGAAATACCGGTAATAATGTTTATTTATATTAGGGAAGTTAATCAAAGTTCATAAAATTTTATGAAACTTGTTCAGAAATACTTATCTACTTGACCCATACATTGTAAAATTGTTTCGACACTTGTTGTTCTATAGCTATGAACACTTCATATTGGCTGATACAAACAATGCAAACAAGGGCTATCACTCTACATCTTAGCCTAGTTAATTCTAAATACTCTTGTATGTTTTTGTTTAGGTTTGTCATTATGATATATCATTGATACAATATCGATTCACAACAATAAAATTAAAACCCCATTTCTTTCATTGCTTGGAACGAAAACAATAACACCCCCCCCTTGCATAAAGATAACAGAAAACCATAATATACTTTCTTTTGGTATTTTGTGATGTATTAAACATGCTTGCATCAACCATGATAGCAGTTTATTACACATATTCAGATGTACAAGATTTTGAATTTGATACATTTTTAATATTCAGCTTTTGGTATACACATATTTATATAAAAGTTTCCATCAATGACAGGGCTTCCTATTTTTATGCACTTGAAGAAGGGAGGACATATTGCTTTGCTGCTGTGTGTCTGTTGGTCCTTCAACAGTTTCCGTTCATTTCCTTCACAGAGGTTGCACATACTGAAATACAGATTTATCATAAGAAAAGTTCTGTTTTTGGGTAGGTTGAGCAACAAGTGTTTCACAAACATCTCTTTTTGCTTTGGTATTTATTTTGTGTCTTTAATTGAAAACTATATGCCATCTTTTTTTTTCCAGGTGGAACGGGCCCAAGCTCGGACTCGGGCTGGGGTTGTATGTTACGATGTGGACAGATGATGTTAGCCCAAGCTCTTGTAGTGCGCCATTTGGGTAGAGGTAGATCTTTATATGTCTGATATGTTTGATACTGATAGCATAAGCCCCTGGTTTGCTGGTGGCAACATATTAAATTCTTGCGACCAGTGCAGACTAAGAGCAGTTAGCACATGTTAATCTTGTCTGATCATTGTGTGCACTCCTCACTGTTTAGTCACTACATATTTTAATTTGTTTCCTTCAAAATGATGAATGTTTAGTCCATATTCAAAGACAGACAAGTGCTTTTAAGATATCCAGCATGTGAAGGTTTAATAATGAAATTATTTAATTAAACTTTCCTCATCAATATTGGAAATTTCTATGTTTGGTGTTTTTGTATTTCTTCCTATACATTCAATATTAGTTACTTTATGGTAATTCAAAACAAAATTATGCGTCAAAAATGGCCTGGAAACTTATTTGTGCATTTTAACAATGTCATCAGTTTGAAATGAAATTATTTTTTTGAAAAGGTGGAGAATAATTTATAAAAATAATTGTTCGGGATTCTAAAAATGAGTCTTCAAAGATTTTTTTTAACACTTTTAGCAATGTAGTGAAACAATCAAGTTTACGCGGCTTACAGTATAGTGAAACAAGTTTAAAAATACTGATATATTTCTAATTTTGGCATGAAGGATGGAGATGGCATGGCACAGATGAAAGATACAGAAAAATATTGGACATGTTTCAAGATAAGAAGAGTTCATATTACTCCATACATCAAATAGGTAAACTCTATTGTCAGGAATGTGAACTAGTAATCTTCTCATCATTGTAAATTCAGACTTCTTTATTACTGATGGCTTTGCAAAGAGGGCTTACAGCTACATGTGAAAAAAGTCATTGACTTTATATTACCAATTGCGTTTGAATCCACATAAATGATTCTTTGACTCAGTGGTCTAAAGTATTGTATTAGTGTGATTATATTAAAACATCAAAGAGTGTCAGTTTAAATGTCACAAATGGTATTATTTTTAGCTTGTCTGTTCCGAAGAAAAAGTTGAGCTATTATAATTGGTTTGCTTCATTGTTGTCGTCATGAAAAAGCATTTAACTTTTTTTAAGTAGCCAATTATTCAAACTTTTTAAAAAGTTATCAACATGGAACTTGGAATATTTGATAATCATGACAAGGTACAGTTGTTAGACAAGGGGCATGATTCTGAAAGCTATATTGTGGAGTTATTCCCCTTTTAGACTTAAATTTTTTGTCAAAATTGCATATTGATGGATGTTGCCCTTAACAGACAAGCAATAACACCGCATGCAGAACTATTGTTTTAGATTTATTTATATCTTTTTGTTACAGATATTAATTAATTACAAATTAATTATTAATCATAATTAATTATGTTCCTAGTGATATTTTTTTTCAAGGATATTTTATGTTCTATATGAGAATAGGACAGTTGTAAATTTTGAAGTTAAAAATGAATAAACTTTGTTCAACAAGCATTTATATAGCAATCAATATCATTTGTATCATACTCAAAGCTTCAATGGGTGTATCTGAAGGGAAGAATGTCGGACAATGGTTTGGGCCAAATACTGTTGCACAAGTTTTAAAGTAAGTACATATTTGTTACAATTTTACTTTTAACTTTTATTAACATTTGTTTCTAAAATGGCATAAGTGGGCTTGTGTTGGCATCATATAGGAAAGGTCTTTGGTTTGATTCGCAGCTGATTGGTGCTTAAAATGTAATTATAGTGATGTTTTGAAGAAAAAAAACAACATTGTGGTATCCATTAAATAAATAAGGAAGATTTAACCAACATATACTTTTTTGCAGATGCACATTTTATAAATACAGTAGAACTTTGTTTAGTTGATTTTCTCGATATGTTGAAGTAAAATGAGAGTGGTTAAGTTCACCGACTTCAAATCACTTCTCAGCTGTGGCAATGAGTGAATGACATTAGGAATCTTTTTTATGTGAGGAAGATATTCCACCAGCTTATGCAATGTCAGTGGTTCCAATCTTATGCTGGCTTATGTTGGAAATAATTCGTGAAGGGGTGCTTGAGATCTTTCCCCCACTAGTAAAAGCTGGACAGTGGGGTATGGACCTTAACACTGTCAGTGTATGAAACAAACAAATAATAACCATTTTAAATAGACTAGTCATTTGAGCCCCGTCATGACAAAACCAACATAATGGGTTTGCGACCAGCATGGATCCAGACCAGCCTGCGCATCCACGCCGTCTGATCAGGATCCATGCTGTTCGCTTACAAACCCTATAACAAGTAGAGAAACTGATAGCGAACAGCAAGGATCAGGATGCGCAGGCTGGTCTTTATGTTGGTTTTGTCGTGACATGGCTCATTTAATGTTCTCTGTACATTTTAGGAAACTGGTTGTATATGATGACTGGAGCTCTCTAGTAATACATGTTGCCATGGACAACTCTATTATACAAGATGATATTAGTGAGTAGGATCATTTGTATTTATCACATAAATCGCGGCGCAGGAGTGTAATAAAGCCATTTTATAAAAACGATATTACACCAGACGATATTACACTAGTGTAATAACACTTTGACTTTACGTGATTTGCGCTATAAACATAGCGTTAAGCACGCTAATGTTAGCGTTACACTATAGGTGCGTCAAAAAAAAAATTACTTGTTAACAGTTTACGGTTCTTATTATCCCCCGCCGATGGAATTGGGAGGGGGATATAGTTTTGGCGTCGTCCGTCCATCCGTCCGTCCGAATTTCGTTTCCGGAGTAGTTCTCTGCAACTACTGGCTGGAATTCAACGAAACTTTATGGGAATCATCAATATTTATGGGAACCTTCAATATCAAGAGGGGATGCGCATATCGTCAGCTTGTTCCGGTCCGACACTTTAACTCAGAGTTATGGCAAGTGATTAGTTATGCAGTATGCATATAGAGTAAAAATCGTTTCCGCGCTACTTCTCTGCAACTACTGGCTTGAATTCAATGAAACTTTATTGGAACCTTCAATACCAAGAGGAGATGCGCATATCGTCGCTTTGTTTGGGTCAGACATTTCAACTCAGAGTTATGGCCCTTGATTAGTTATGCAGTATGCATATAGAAAAATATTTGTTTCTGCGCTACTTCTCTGCAACTACTGGCTGGAATTCAATGAAACTTTATTGGAACCTTCAGTACCAAGAGGAGATGGGCATATCGTCGCCTTGTTCGGATCAGACATTTTAACTTTGAGTTATGGCCCTTGATAACTTATGCAGTATACAACCAGAGCAATAATCGTTTCCGTGCTTCTTCTCTGTAACAATTGGCTGGAATTCAATGAAACTTTATTGGATACGAAGAGGAGATGTGCATATAGTCGCCTTGTTCCGGTCAGACACTTATAACTCAGATTTATGGCCCTTGATTACTTATGCAGTATGCATACATCTCATTGGCATTTCCAGATATTACTATTTAACACAGAGTTATGGCTCTGTTATTGTCCTGAATATTTATCAAGTTCAAAGAATATTACTGTTTATGCCATGATAAATATATAAATAAAGCCTTATGTCTTCAGTTGTTGTGTTAGTAATAACCAGTACTCGGCGGGGGATATAAATTCAACGAATTTGCTTGTTTTATATATGTGATAAAAAGAATATTATATTCGTGTAGATTCAATACTAAATTTATTGAACTTGTTGAATAAAACAATATTTTGCTTGCCAGAGGCTCGCATAATATGATTTAATTCAACTTGTTCAATAAATTTAGTATTAAACCTACACTTGTTCAACATCCTCTATGTGCCGAATTAAGATTTTAAATCATATTTAACTGATAAAGGAACTTCTTTGACTAAGTGGTTAAGGTCACTGACTTTCCAAACCACTTGTCACAGCTGTAGTTACAAATTTTACCATTGATTTTGAAGTATTCTAAGAGAATGCTATCCAGTTACATGAAGGTCGACAGATTTACACTGGTATTTTCTCATGTCTAAAATAATGCATGAAGGTATTTATGAGGTCTTTCATGATGAAAAGCTGGAAAATTGCCTTATCACCTATAAAGACGTTTTCGGGAGTTTTCATATAGATATATAGGCAAAATTAAACTCTTCAATAGAATTTTTTTAAAATTGGCATGCTGTTAAAATATGATGACAGAAACATTTTAAGCGGGGAAAAAAATTGGGGTCAAAACCAAAGTGATGTTTTTACTGGTTGCATTTTATTTTGGAACATCATTTATGCACCTGTTATGGACTGCTTATGGTTGTATTGCCATGTAATGTTCTGTAGACATTTGAAATGCTTAACTGTATCATCATTATTCAAATATTTCTTAAAAACTGTAGCCTAATGAATATTCATGACCAATTAACTATTTATTAACAATGATTGCTTATTCACAGATGGTAATTTAGCATGAAAATAAATATGCATTAGAAAAAAATTGTCTATTTATATTGTGACAGGACATCTTTTGCATATGTACATCACCAAAATTTCAAATTTAAACATGGGGGATTTATTATGTCAAACCTAATGGCAGTGATATTAGCAAATATGAATTTGGTTAAGGTAAATCTTTGTACTATGTATCATAACACTCAAATTACACTCTGCTATAATTCTCTTATTTCTTTTCTTTGTAGAATGTTTGTGCAAATGTAAACATGGTGATGATCGTGATAAATGTGAAATACGCAAGTCAATGAAAGCAGAAAGTAGAGCAAGAGAACATGACTTTATAAATTATAGTTCTAGTGACGGTAGTGACACGTCAGTTCACACTGTAACTAGGCCTGATGTGGACCCTTCTATATGGAAACCTTTATTATTAATCATTCCCCTAAGATTAGGACTAACTGATACTAATGTTGTATATGTTGAAAGTTTAAAGGTAAGTTGATTCTTTTTGTAATTACCCTGTCCCCCCAGAAATATTTCAGCAGAGCATTTAGTTATTGAATTGTCTTTTGTTCTATGTTTATATCACACTTAGTTGAATGCCCATTAAGCTTGGGAAAAAATCTTATCATTTATATAACTGTATTCAATTAACCTGAGCCATCGTTTGCAATTTGGCAATTACTATACTTACAGTGATTAGCTAATGTTTGTAGGTAATTAAAACTTTTATACCTTACATGGTGAGGCTTTATATAAACATGCTCTTTCCCAATGTCACCTCAGGTCAGATATCCAGACACATTCTCAATGGCAAATATGCTTATTTTTTTCCCAATCTTTAAAAGAAATCCCAATTAAACTGATATTCTTGATATGTAAAATGACAAAATTGCTGAAGTTCATTCCGGTATAATATCAGACAAATGTTTTCACACATTTCATTGACAAATTTTAATGTAATTTCTATGCTTTGAATGATATTTGCGCTGGTTAGAAAAAACAGTTTTGCGCAATTCAAAATGCTTTGCCAAATGTGCATGAAGGAGGTTTCAAAAGGTCCTAAAAAAATTTCCCAATTAAGCAATTTTATGATGTAAAATTTTCCAGACCAGGCAAGGTACTTTCACAGAGCCTGTAATAAGATAACCTTCTTCAAGATCACTGAAGCTGAAAATATATTTCTCTATGTATCTATAAAAAGGCTATGTTTTTACCTTTGAAAAATTGATTTAAAAAAGCAGCCATTGTTGATACTTTGTTTATGGTAGTGGTTTCATTTAAATCAGGAATTAAAATAAATTAAGTAGATTTATTTTATAATTAAACTTAAAGGCATCATTAAATAGTAATTGTTATATTAAATCACATTAAATTTATTAGGAGATAAGCTATTTATTATGCCCCCACTTCAAAGAAGAGGGGATATATTGCTTTGCATTTGCCGGTCCGTAGGGCGTAGACCAAATGGTTTCCGAGTGATAACAAAAGAACCCTTAGGCCTAGGAACTTCAAACTTGGTATGGTGATTGGTCATGACCAGTAGATGACCTGTTGATTTTTGGGTCAAGGGGTCAAAGGTCAAGGTCACATTGATCTTTGTAGGTAAAAACGGTTTCCAATCAATAACTAATGAATGCTTAGGCCTAGGAACTTCAAACTTGGTATGGTGATTAGTCATGACCAGTAGATGACCCCTATTGATTTTGGGGTCAAGGGGTCAAAGGTCAAGGTCACATTGACCTGGTAGATAAAAACGGTTTCCGATCAATAACTAAAGAATGCTTAGGCCTAGGAACTTTAAATTCAAACTTGGTATGATGATTGGTCATGACCAGTAGATGACCCCTATTGATTTTGGGATCAAGGGGTCAAAGGTCAAGGTCAGATTGACCTTGTAGGTAAAAACGGTTTCCGATCAATAACTAGAGAACGCTTAGGTCTAGGAACTTCAACTTTATATGATGATTGGTCATGACCAGTAGATGACCCCTATTGATTTTGGGGTCAAAGGTCAAGGTCACATTGACCTTGTAAGTAAAAACGGTTTCCGATCAATAACTAAAGAACACTTAGGCCTAGGAACTTATATGATGATTGGTCATGACCAGTAGATGACCCCTATTGATTTTGGGGTCAAGGAGTCAGTGTCAAATTGATCTTGTACTTTAAGATGATTTCTGACCAATAACTCAACAACTCAAGTTGCCTTGGTTGATATATTTATATTAAACTAAAAATGTGTTTGGTATACACATTTGAAGGTCTTATAAATGTAATATAACAACTTGGCTGAGGCCTACATGATTCATAAAATTTATGCATATTTTATTTGGTAAGATTTGTAATAACTTGGGGCGTCCGTGGCCGAGTGGTTAAGGTCGTTGACTTTAAACCACTTGCCCCTCAACGCTGTGGGTTCGAGTCCCGACAGGGACTTTGGATTCTTTCATGTGAGGAAGCTATCCAGCTAGCTTACGGAACGTCGGTGGTTCTACTCAGGTGCCCGTTCGTGCCTGAAATAATGCACGGAAGGGCACCTGAGGTCTTCCTCCACCAGTAAAGCTGGAACGTCGCGATATGACCTATACTGTGTCGATGTGACGTAAAACCCAAAACAAAACAAAAAAAATTTGTAATAACTTAAATTGCTGCACACAACCTATGGGGTCACAATAATTATTACCTTGTGACTAGTCATCAACAAGTAGATTACCCTTATTAATTTTTTGTTCACTGGGTCAGAAGTCCTGCATAATAACCTGATCACATGACTAATTGGCTGCCCATAGGAGGCATACATGTTTTACAAACATATCTTGTTATAATCTTATTTTTGGTTCCCAAAGACTGGTTCCTTGAGCTGGACTCGGTATTTTGTTGATAAACATGACCATTATAATGGTTCAAATTTGTCATCGCTGAAGTAATATTAATTTTCCATATGTAAGATCTTATATCATTTGAAAATACATTTCTAAGTGAGACTGTTGCTTAAGAATAATGCAAATCTCACGCACATGAATGTAAATGATAAAAAAGATGAAGGTTGGATCATGTTAACTTCTTAAGCATTTGTATCTTATATATTTTTACATATTACAGAAATGTTTAAGTTTGAAGCAGAGTGTTGGCATGATAGGAGGAAAACCAAATCATGCTCATTGGTTTATTGGATTTGTAGGTAAGTTAACTTAAGAATTTTGTTTATATAGCATTGTTCTCGTCGGATAAAGCTGCATGCCTTCAGATGAGACAATTACGAGAAAATCAACTTTGAGAAAAATTAACTAAGAATTTAAGAAAAGTAAAAATATTCACAATTCATGATATACGAATGATTGATTTTGCAGTATTTATATTTCTACTGTGTAACTAACATAGTAAGGGGTATTTTTACATGTTTTGACCTCTATTTGGTAATTAACTTAGATTGAAATTTCTTTGTTCACTTGAAAATATTTTTTGATACATTTTCATATAAATTAGCATGAATCTGGAGGTGTGCTGCTTAAATAGAATTTTTAGGTTAAAATAGGTATGTTAATAATAGATGATATGTGCCTATTAATAATATTGATGTCCCCTTTGTAAGTAATTATGACATAGAGTACATCAAGTATTAACAGCTGAGAAGATAACAATCTAAATTATATTTATCGAAAAAGTCTATGTACAGAAATTGGTAATATTTTGTAATTGATCATGTACAGGTGATGAGCTAGTGTATCTTGATCCACATACAACACAGGTGTTTGAGGAACAAGGAGCTAGAGATGAGTCTTTCCACTGTCAGCATGCTAGTAGAATGAAAATACTCGACCTTGATCCTTCCATTGCATTGGTAGGTATTTTAGTTTTTAGCTTGACTAATCGAAGAATATGGAGAGCTTTTGTTCTCACCCAGGCGTTGGTGTCATATCAGCATCACACTTTGGACAAGTTGCACCCAAAAAACAAATTTTAAAGGAATGAGTTGAAACTTCATACAGTTATTTGGGAGCCAGGGTTCGACACTAATGGGGTCCCAGGATTCCTAGGATCCCAAAAGTCTGAAGGAATCCCTGTGGTTCCTAGCTGGTGATTCAATTGGGATCCCTGAAAAATTGCTGGGTAATTTGAAATATTTTCTGAATAATTAGCATAAAATTTCAAATAATCAAGAAAAGTCATGTCAATAAAGATTGACACAACTGTTAGGTTCAAGAAAGAAAAGAAAATCATGCTGGTAAAATTTACACCTTTGAATCATGTATGCTATATTCTTTCTTGGTACGGTCAGCCTGTCAACTCATTTACAATATATATGATATTAAAATGTTTCAAAGATGTTTTGGCTAAAGAAACATTCTTGAATAAATTTTTATCATACATTGACTGCATAATATTGAGGTGTAAAAATCAAAAAAATAAATGTAATTATCGGACAATTATTGCACAAGTGGTGTATGCTTAAACATGCTGATTGGCATTGATGGCTTTTGCTATGAAACAGTTTTTCATAAGTTAAGTTTATTAAATTTTTCATATATTATCCAGTGTTCATTAGGGATGTTTTAAAAAAAATTCTCCCAATTTTTGACGAAAACTCAATAGTCTGGAACTGTTTCTGTCTCCCTACAGAAATGTTTAAAAAAGTAAAATCAATAAACAGAATAAAAAATTATCCTTACTTTTAAGTATGGGATCCTATGGCCAAAACAGTTAAGTGTCAAACCCTGAGAGCATGTTAGGAGGTCATTTCAAAGGCCCATACCTAACATTGATTTTTAACAGAATTATGGCCCTTTTTGAACTTTAAAAACTTAACATTATCTTAACTCTTGTTTCACTTTCAAGCACTGGATAGTCCAGCACTTTGTCTTATCAACAATTTTTTTCTCAAAACATTGATTCAATTTAGAGCTATATACATGTAGTATCATAAATGATTTTGATAGAGCAGAAATAAAATGGTAAACTTTCATTGAGGTTTACCACACTTAATATCTGAAATGGTCTTGTCCATCTTTTAATCTTGACCAAACCATTCACTATATTTAAAGCAGATTAAAAGATATGACTGACTGAATATTGAACTGTGCAGATTCCATTTCAGATGGCACAGTTGTGTCGTCTTATCTTGGTAAGTTTTTTATAAACTTTATTTATTTTGTTGCAGGGTTTTTATTGTGGAACAGAAGCCGAATTTGACGATTTGTGTTCAAGTTTACAGAAATATGTTACTAGTAGAAAAACATCTGCAATGTTCGAGCTGCACAAAGAGCGACCGTTACATTGGCCCCCATACGAGCCGTATACTGCCAGAGTTTCTTTAAATACAAAAGGTAACTATATAATGTGTTGCTATTAATAGATGATACAATGCCGAGAAAACACTTTCTTGTTGATTGTTAGTGTTAACTCCCACCATTAAAATCAGAATGTGGATACGGAAATGATGTCTGACTCTCGATGTTCAATTTATATAATTCACATAAATATTACAGTTAGCAATGGCAATAGTCTCTAGTGGATATTCTATGTTTGTATAAAGCAAATGACATCAAATAAAAAATATATGCATGGCTGTGCAATACCATTTTTAAGAAGTTACAAAAGTGGCAAGGGTATTTGATAGATAAATTTATGAAAGTTATTAAATAGGTCAACATATCAATTAATTTCATTTCTTTCATTTCTTGTCTGGAATTATGATTTTGGGTAAAGTATCTTTATTGCAGACATTTATTAAAATGTATGAAATTCATACTAAATATGTCTAATTTGATCAGGAGAATGGATAAACTATGTTTGGGAAGCTGCATTCCCTATTACTGGTCTAGTTGCTTTGGTATTTTGAACTATTTTCTTTAAAAAAAAAAGCCAGATTTTCTTTTACTGACGCTATGAATTCATACAATGTTTTGAGTTTAAAACGTGACATGTCACCTCTGTGCTTACTCAAAACATGTTTATTTTACATTTAAAAAGAGACCTAATAGCAATTGTCATTATCTTCAATACAGGGGAGATCAGTATTTAATCTTATTGAGTTTGTGTCCCTTTAATTTGATAAAAACTGTTATGTTTCGTGTTTTGTTATTACATTATTAGGTTCTATATATTGTATGTTTTCAGAGTTTGCTGTTGTAGAGAAACAATCTTGTGATAGTGATGAAGATTTTGAACTAGTTGGGTAGCTTATTGCCAAAGATTTACGTGGGGTAAAAACGAAGACAATTGTTACGGCGAAAAATGAACAGTCTCCACTATTATTATCTAGTGTTGATGTGATTGATATACTGCTATCAGGTGTTAAGATATTAATAGCTTTGTTTAATGGAAAACTGTTTGAATCATTATAAACTCCATTACTCTTATTTAGTGCTTGCATGTATATATATATTATATATAAGTGCTGGCATGAAAAATTTTATTTGATGAAAGAAATAAACGATCGAGGGAATCAACCAAGAAACTTCTCTACTGCTTGGTTATCTATATTTAGTGCATGCTTGAACGATTTATTTGATGAAAGAAAGAAATTATCAAGGGGAGTCAATCAAGAAAATACATGTCCTTTGTTGGAATATGCCAAGATTTACTATAATCTACATGTTTAGGTCCAACAAAGATTTAAGGCGGAAAAAAATAAACTGAAGATATACTAAAGCTAAAAAAAAGGAATTAAACAGTGTTTTATTTTAGCTCACTTGTCACAAAGTGACATGGTGAGCTTTTGTGATCGCTTTTAGTCCGGCATCTGTCAGTCTGAATTACTTTGAACGACATCTCCTCATAAACCGCTGAGCCAATTTCATTCAAACTTCACAGGAATGAATTTTTTTCCAAGCAGAACTCTGGTTGCCATGTCAACCGAAAGAAAAAACTTAAAAAATATCTTGTTTTAGAAAACCGAAAGAACTAGAGCTTAAATATTTGGCATGAAACATCATCTAGTAAGTGTCTTCCAAGTTTGTTCAAATAAAAACCCTGGGGTAAATTTAGCCGACCCAGGGGGTCATTGATTTTCCTTATCTGTATATAGTAAAAACTTAAAAAATCTTCTTTTAAAAACCCCAAAGAGCTAAAGCTAAGATATTTAGCATGAAACATCTTCTAATGGGTGTCTACCAAGTTTGTTCAAATAAAAGTCCTGGAGTCAAAATTGGCCCCTCCGAGGGGGGAGGGTCATTGTTTTTTCCTATATGTATATTGTTAAAACTTAAATCTTCTTATAAAAACCCCAAAGAGCTAGAGCTCTGATATTTATCATGAAACATCTTCTAATGGGTGTCTACCAAGTTTGTTCAAATAAAAGCCTGTGGTTTAAAATTGGCCTTGGGCCAGGGGTCTATATACAGGTGAGCGATTTCAGAGCAATCACGGCCGTCTTGTTTTAATGAGTATAAATGTGATGATGATTTGTGAAAGTATGCATTCTCTCAAAGGAAATAATTTGATAATATTTGATCAAAGTCAACAAAATATTCTATTGCTTGTTTTGTGTAAAACAGTGGAAGGTGTTGCAATTGTGTACATGTAGCAGTCGTTGTTTATCTGCTTTTGTGACTACAATAAGTGTTGCATTACAAACAGTGATGTTGTTGTTTTATTCTAAAATATGTGATATCTTTTAATCAATTTGAATTATTTAACTTGTAAATGTGTAAACAATGTATAGTTGTATAGCATGTATAAATGTGTTATTTGAATCCATTTATGTTTGTCAGTCAATAACTATTGTTTTAGGGTTATCATTAGGAGGTGGCTGAAGGTCAAAATGTCTGTCTCAAATGTATTCTGGGCTGCATCAAAACTTAGAAAAAACGCTCTTTTGTTGTATGTGTGATAAATCCAATAAATTACCTTAAATTCAAAACAGACTGTCTCAGAATATATTGGTATGATGGCCATTTGTTTGTTTTGTATGTAAGATCAAAATATATTTCCTAGAGTGAACACCAAATGTAATATTTTTGAGAAAATGTTAGAGCTGGGGTTCACAAATGAAAAATAATTTGATCGTACATACAAAACAAACACATTTTAAGTATTATTCTTTCATCAGCATTTAACTGTGAAAAATATATTGTATAATTTTACTGTCCACTTTTTTTAAAAGCATGTTATACAACTTGTTGAAGATTTCTATGTGGCTCTCTATTTAGGTTGTTTTGGTGTTACAGGCTTACAGATTAATGGTAACTGGCTATTTATAAGTTTTCATTTTGGAGGATATTCTTCTTTCTAATAAGTTAAGACTGGATGTAACAGTCTGTATCTGTAATAATAGAAATGTTCTTCAGTCAAAAAAACCAAAACATTTTTGATTGTGATGAACTTACAGGTTGTCAAACAACTAAATTGAAACTATTGCACACTTGTTATGATTGAGTACTAGAGATATTCAGTATATGAGATTGATTATTGATAGAAGTGGATTATACACTGTATAAACTTTTGTTTATCCCTTATATTATTGTTTAAAGTAGAATTATATATTTAACAGAAGAATATGTTACTATTAAAAATAGAGAAACATCTGCATAATTATGCAATTGTGTTTTGTGCAGTATTACATCATTTAACAATATTACATGTCGGGGTTCTATAAAATAGGTCAATTTGAAAGAAGTATAAAATAGGTCAATTTAAAAGAAGTATCATTTATTAAACTCTAGCTTCCATGTATAATTAGAAGCAGATTAAGTGAGAGATGCTGCAGTCATGGACAGACCAGATAAAACTGGATTATTTTCAACTTTTTTGCTTCTAGGGGTCCTTCGTTTCTAGGTGGTTTTATTTACATATTTAAATATTCATGGCATGCAAAACTCCAAGCAATTAGATATAGTCAATATGTTGGGGAATTATTTTTTCAAATATGAAAGGTGTAATAATCAACTTCTTGTGATGAAAACATGAGGTGCTTTTAGTGTTGTTCTTGTACATTATACTATTACATGACATTTGTTTTTCCCAATCTAGATGTGTATTATTGGTGAACTTTTCGGTGATTATATTGGGTTGGATTTATTTCAACATTGCTGTAACAAAACATTTACTCTTACACATATATTTGTCATTTTCATTTGTTAATTTTAAAGCCTAGGCACATGATTTTGTTTGATTGACATGCGTTTAACAAAATAATAAATATGAAAGTGCTTTATTGTTTTGTTATAAATATAATTATTAAAGAGTCCATTTGCTGTTTCAATGTTGGCCTGAGTGACAGATTGATTGATTGATGGATTAATTGATTGATTTAAATTCTTTGGTTTAAGCTACATGATACCAGATGTTACAAGATGGCAATGCATTATACATAGGATACATGTTCTATAACTCTAACATATACATAGCAAGTACTGCTCTAAGAGTTGTTTCCCTTATTACTCGTGCAATATGATACTACATAGCATTTGCTAATGTGCAATCTGTTACTTTATCTTTTGCTATTACCTCACATGATTTATTTTCTATATGTATATACTAGACTTGTGTGACGTCAAAGTGTAACCAGTCCGTATTCTGTAACATCGTTTTCCCCACACACTCTTACTGCAAGTGTTATAAGGATTATAGTCTATAATTACAATATGATACAGTATGAATGTTCGTACAACCCTTCAAGATTGTCTCTGTAATTGATTGTTGTATTCAGGTTGATATATGGGACACGTTTTTTCTGTCTGGATTCTGAAACTGTTGTCATTGTAAAAACATTTTTATCCCCCGCCGAAAATTTTCGGCGGAGGATATAGTAATAGTCTCCGTCCGTCCGTCCGACCTTCCGTCCTTCCGTCCGTCCGTCCGAAATTTTTGTCCGGAGCATATCTCTAAAAGTATTTGAGTTATCAACTTGAAACTTCATAGGTGGATAGACCTCATTGAGGAGGAGTGCAGTGCACAAGAATGATAACTCTACCTTGCATGATTTTTGAGTTATTGCCCTTTGTTATTTTTCAAATTTTTGTCCAGAGCATTACTCCAAAAGCCTATGAGATATTAACATGAAACTTCATAGGTGCATAGATCTCACTCAGGAGGTGTGCAATGCACAAGAATGATAACTCTTCCTTTCATAATTTTTGAGTTATTGCCCTTTGTTATTTTTCATACCTAATTTTTCACCTGAGTGGAGCATAACTCAAAAAGTGTTTGAGATATCAACATGAAATGTCATAGAAGGATAGATCTTATTGAGGAGAAATGTTGTGCACAAGAATGATAACTCTTCCCTATACAATTTTTGAGTTATTGCCCTTTGTTGTTTTTTTCATGCTATTTTGTCCAGAGCTTATCTGAAAAAGTATTTGAGGTATCATCTTGAAACTTCATAGGTGGATGGATCTCATTGAGGAGGAATGCAGTGCTAAAGAATGATAACTCTGCCCTGCATTATTTTTGAGTTTATTGCCTTTGTTATTTTTCAAAATTAATTTTTGTCCAGAGCATAACTCAAAAAGCCTTTGAGATATCAAAATGAAACTTCACAGGTGCATAGATCTCACTCAGGAGGTGTGCACTGCACAAGAATGATAACTGTACCTTTTATAATTTTTGAGTTATTGCCCTTTGTTATTTTTTCATACTTAATTTTTCAATTCAATTTTTTCTCTCAAAAAGTATTTGAAGTATCAACTTGAAAACTTCATAGGTGGATAGATTTTACTGAGGAGGGATGCAGCACACAAGGATGATAACCTACCCTGCATTATTTTTCAGTTATTGCCCTTTGTTATTTTCAGCCATCAGTATTCACATAGGTTTCAAATCTGTAATCACTATAGCCATCAGTTTTCATTACCAAAAGACCTCTTAAAATGGAATTATTCTGCTCTACTACATATACATTCTTCCAATGAGCAAACACATTCGGCGGGGGATGGCCATGTTGACATGGCTCTTGTTGTCATTGTAAAAATGTTTTCAGTTAATCAAAAGGCAACTCGACATCATAAGGTATGTTTCCGTTCTGTTTCACAAGTTACAGACGCTATAGCTGGACAGTATGGTATCTAAATCCTTCCACATCCCTTGTTCCATCAATCTACTTCACCTTTACCAAAACTTTTCACAGTATTATACAATTATATACTGTTACTCACAAACCTTTGTTATTTATGTTATTACCTCGAACAAATACTTCATTGGGCCATTGATTTTAACTTTGAAAAAGCACTGATACCTATGTAACAGTTCAAACGTTTTATTCAAATGGCACACTTGAATTAACAGTACGAATAACTCCCATTGGCTTATGGGAAATACACATTACAAAAATATTGAGGATACTGTATATAACGCATGTGCTACATTTGTACATTTTTGTTACGACAAACACAATGAATAATAAACTTCTTTTGAAAATATTTTTTAAAAAATCGACAAAAAGTTTAGATAACGTTTCACAAAAGGTTTGAATGATTTTGTTCTATGACCTACTTACGATTTCAATATGTAATTAAAATGTTGTAATTTTTATTTTGTTTGATTTTTATAAGAAAATGAATATTTCAGTAGAATGCAAATATTTAAAGTAACGTTATGTCACAATGTAAGTTCTTCTTGAGGTTTTTATTGATTTCTTGTGAATAAAACATTAATGACTTTTTGCAGACTGTTAAATTTATTATCTTTTATTGGCACCAAACTTACCTAGATTTGTATTTAGTTCAATAGAATTGCGTAATGAAATATTTACTTTTAAAAAATGCATGCTAATTGTTTTGGATCTCTGCCGACACAATTGGTTTTTAGAATTGTATACACAGAAAACGCCTAGAGTTCTTTTTGCTGTATCATGTAAAATTATCGTATATACAAATGTAGAATTCTAAAGTAACAATACGAGGGGCATATTTAAATTAGCGGCAACAACTCAATTGAACCATGATTTGCGCGTGAAAGTACATATGAATTGTATAATATACCGTTGGAAAGATAATTGAGTTTTCTAACCAACAGTCTATTTTCGCACGATTTGCACGTGCAATAAAAATTTTAATAGGTCA